TGTTTGTATGTTCACACTGATGTTAAAATGACATTTTCTGATTTGTGACATTACTTTTTATGTAATGCTAAAACACTGCTGGTCACTTTCAGTTGTAGTGATTCTTTCTTTTCCAAGAAAGAATGTGAAACAAATTGGTTATATAATTTAAATATTTTAAAATATAATTGAAATTGATTTTACACACTTTAAGCAATATCGTATCGCATATCGAATATCGCATTTTTTAACAAGGTATCGCATATCGCATTTTTCTTCAATATCGCACAGCCCTAGTAATTACCCAATATTCTTTTAAAGTACCTTCGAGAAGCATATTAATATGATCACTCAACACCACAGTATTACATCTGATACCATCGCTGTACACGATCCCACCACAGAACAGGAAGAGCAGCAGCAGAAACAACAAACGCCTCACATTACTGAGCCTCACATGCCGGATTCGAACCTGCATCACTGACATGAGCACCACAGCGCAACACGCCGCAGGATAATGAGAGGATGACAATTAGATTCAGATTTTGAAAAAAGGAAATGAAAAGCTGTTTTCTGTGTTTTCTCCTTAATATTTCTCAAGGACTTTATAATAACAATTATCTACGTTTATGACGTGTAAGCCGAACATGAACAACAAATAAAAGGTTATTTTGTTTTTAAATAACAGGTTCTTAGGCTTTACACAAGCCTGTAAGTTAAAAAGTAAAGTCCAAAACAAAATGCAAATGTGCCAAATAAGAAGAAAAAGTGGCTTTTGTGAGTAAATAAAAAGTTTTCACTCGTTGGCCCAAAAATGTATTCGAAACGACACCAAATTACTGCATTATTCGAGGAATTAGGAAGAATCTGAATTTCGTAAGCATCAAAAACAGAAACAAACTGTGCATTAAACAAAACATCTGTCCCAATACAGCTTCTGTCTGTAAGAAATATTAATGGCTGCTAAACTCTCAACTGGCCTATTTGAAGGTGTGGCAAAAGGTTAATTTTGGAGCCTGCCTGTAAGTCTCAGCAGAAAGACACAGAGTCTCTCTGTCTGTGTGTGTGTGTGAGAGAGAGCGAGAGTGTTAGAGTGTGAGTGTGAGAGTGTGTTTGTGTCTCTCCTGGTTCTCCTCTCGCTCTTTAACCGCACTCATCCTGTGCTGCTCTGACAGAGACGTGTAAGAGAGATGCAGATGTCATTAAATAAGACACTCAACACCAGCTCCATCTAGCTTTTTAGTAGAGCCCGACCGATATGGGTTTTTTGGGGCCGTTACCGATACCAATATTAGGGAGTAAAAAAAAAAAAGGCCGATAACAATATATCGGCCGATATTCTTTGTGTATATTATGGTACAGTACAGTATTATAGTCTGGACACACGAATGGAGAAGTGTCCAAACTATGGCCAAAAAGGCCATTTTTTACAATGTTACAAAGTGATCAAACACTTATAATGGTGACAGAGATATGTAAGGGCATTTAACAATTTAACAAACTTTACTATCCAAAATGAGTCTGACATCAGTGCACTGAACAGTAAAGCTGAAGTTTATTCAACTTTAATTCAGTTCAATTC